ATTTTCTTAATTAGTGATTGATGGGGGGAGGGCCCAGCCCACAGTGAGTGGTGTTATCCCCAGGTTCTATAATAAAAGCAGGCTGAGCAAAGCCCATAGACACAAACTAGTAAGCAGCATCCCTCCATGGCTTCTGCATCAGCTTCTATTTCCAGGATCTTCCCTGTTTGAGTTTCTGTCCTGACTTCCTTCAGTGATAGACAGTGCTGTGGAAGTGTAAACCAAATAAACCCTTTCGTCTCCAGGTTTCTTTGGTCATGGTGTTTCATCACAGCAACAGTAACCCTAACTAAGACAAGATATAAATTATTTTAGAAACAAAACCATGTTTGTGAATAAATTAAAATTATAGCTATATTGATAATACTGTTGAGGTCTCTAATTAAATGCTACATGTCAGACGCAGTACTCATATCTAACTGATTAAACTAATTCTATCAACTAGCCCATCTATAACAAAAACAAAAGCAGGAAGAAAGGAAACAAAACAGTACAAAAAAGACTCTAGAGAAGCAGGAAGCAGTATTTTTCACATCTGGCCTGCAATTTTTTAGGTAATTCTAACATTCTTAAGAAGAAAAAAAATCATTTTTTTCACACCAAATGAATCTTTCACTTTCTACTAAAAACAGATAAGTTTAAGGAATAAAAACCGAAATACAAAAGGTAAAAAAAAAAATTGGTGGGAGGAGTGTTACTGGTATTGAACCTAGGGCTTGGCTAATGTCCCTAAATCCTGTTTTTCCTTTGAGGGTTGGACATTACAGCAGATTTTAGTAATAAACAGGGCATACATAGTAATCTACAGTTATTGATTAAAATTCAGTTTAGTAGTATAATTCTACCTCTTTATTCCTGAATCTTGTTAAACAGACCTATAATATAAAATAGAAGCTGGATTTCAACATCTTAGAATAACAAAAATTCTTCACCTACCTTCCAAGTTTTGGACTTCTGATTGCAACACCTACACAAGTTACTGATGTCAGCACTATATAGTGGTGGAGAGTAAAACTCTCTCCACTTGCACCTAGGTCAGTCACTTAACCTTTCTGAGACACTCTCTCATCAGAGATATGGGGCTAATGTTGTGGCCATCTTTATTTCATAAAATAAAATGTTTATAAATGAGTTCCTAGCACAGTTGCTAACACAAAGTATGTCCTATCCATTTCCTAATAAAAAAGGAGAAAAATGGTAAAACTATTGTTTAATTCATGCTGCTAAAAAAAAAAAACATATTTACTACTAGGCAGTACAAAAACTGAGATTACATCTCTTGGTATGCAAAAGATTAAATAATACAGTTACATATGGAAAAAGAGAATGTGTATTCTATCTATGCATATGTATATATGCATATATAATACATATATACATGTAAATGGAATTTCTTTTCTGTGTGTGTCTGTATATATTACAGTCCTGAAAAAATGAAGTGTAGAGGGGATTAGAATTCAGTCTCTTCAAGAGATCAGAGCTAGTGATTATGAAAGAGCGATTCCATACCAAAGACATATTCTTGTTAAACTGTGCTGCCACCCAATACAGATGAATATAAAAGCCTCTGCCCACCACCCAAAAAAAGCTATGTGAAACACTTTTCTTGAACTTTCTTTCCAACACCAAGCACACATGAGGATGGATTATGTGTGATAATGAATTATGACACTAGGAGTGATGGAAGAATTCACTCTAGAACAACTGAAAACATAGCTGAGCTTGTAAAGAAAGGTCTAAATATCAAAATGATGAATTTTAATGTAATCCTACAGACAATAACAAGCTAGCATGGCAGATGGGGAGCAGGTTTGGAAAGGTAAGTAAAGAGAAAGTAAGTACTTAAAAAAATAACTTCTCTATCATCAGTGTTTCTATCTCTACTATAAAATAAAAGTTCAAACCAAACAACTATTTATACATGGATATTAATGACAAAAAACAAAAAAGTCTTATTAAAACACAAATTATGAGAAAATGGAAATAAACCAGGCCCTTAAATTAAACAATCTTACACATAAACTCAAGCAGAACTTGCTTTTTTCTTCTGGTTTTGAAGACTGAAACTAGAGTCCTTCACATGCTTAGAAACACTGCTGATCTTAGCCCAGCACCTAAAATTTTTTTAAAAGAGTATTCATCTCATTTTTACAGCTAATTTAATATGATAATCAAAAGCCACACAAACTACTCTAACTCAAAGTATGGCAAGCAGAGACTCATACATTTTATTTTATTTTAAACCTAAAGAGCAATATAAGGCTACTGACCATCATATTCTACAGCACAGTTCTAGAAATATTGGTATATTGTGTTATCTTACTATGATTCTATTCCAAAATAGAACACTTGAAAACTATTGACTTTCAGGTATTAAATGAATAGCAGTAAATAAGAGTTAAGTGTTGTGGGATATTTGATCACTCTGTGACATCCTGAGACTGAGTTAATAAAGTAACCTTGAATGAGGGGGTGGAGCCAGCGACTAGTTGACAAGAACTAGTCAAGAGTATATGGAGGGACCCAGGATGCAATAGAGGCACAGGAAGGAATAAGGAGGGACTTGGAGATTCCAAGGCTTGTTATACTTCCTTTTTGGTCTAGGAAGTGTGGAGAGAAGGTCAGCTAGTCACTCCTCTGCTACTTCTTTGGTCTATCAGGTTTTCACCCCAATATCTGACTCCCAAGTCTTTATTGCTAATAGAACAACTTAGATAAACACAACAGTTAAGTAAGAATAGCATTTCTGTTATAAAATATCAGAATCTGATCTAAAAGCTTGTCTTCATAAGGCAACTACCAAGAACCATTAAAGAATTCTACTTAGCTTACTACAAATAGGCTTTCAGACAATTAGTACACCAACATACCAGGGTTCCATTTACATCCTGACTCAGGTTTCTCATCTCCCCTACAATGAAAGCAACCAGGTATGTGCTCATTTTCACACTTTCAGAAAACTCATCTTGAATAAGTCCTTCTTCTGTACGGACCGATGACTTCTATAGCCAAAGGGGAAAAAAAAGATAACAGTTCTGTAATTAAAGCAATGACAAATATACTAAGAAACTAAAAATGCATGTAGATAATAATTGCATATTTTAATCTTTCAGCACAAATTTCTAGAAAGCAGAACCCCTTGTTTCAGTTTCTTTTACTACCCTTGATCAAGAGGACACACTGAATACAATGAGAACCCCAATAGGGCTCTCAATATATTTAAATTACAGGGAGCAGTGGCTATTGTCTCTCCATTTAAAAACTGTAGCAAAATGCAAATCCTTACCCCACCCCACAACCTTAGGATAACTGACTTCAAGAAGGAACTGTAGCTAAGATATCTTCTAACATGATCTAGTGTTCCTTGGAGGACCCCCAGGAAAACTTAGTGGAATCAAATGTGTTAGGCCACTAGAGAAGTCTGCAACAGATTAAAGGTGGAGAAATGCCAGCAACTCTCAGGATTTCCCAACCATGAATCAGGCTATGCTTTGGGTTATTAGATAAGTAGGTGCCCACCTCTTTAAGAGACTGATTAGGGTGAAGAGTTTGGCTATGAGTAGGGTTATGACAATAAATGATCATGCTGTCTACTGTCTATGGGGGTAAACTGTATTACCTGATGGCTGTGGCTATTTCTTGTCCCTAGCTACACAGGTTCTAGGAAGCATCACATAAACCGCACAAGGCCATTCAGGTAGACACAAAAGGAACCCCAAGTTCTGTTTAGCATAAAACCCCTCTGTTTGGTGTTATCCCTACTACCTCCCATGCAACTAACACTCAAGAAAGAGGCTACTGTATTTGTTGTCCATTTCCACATGACAACAATCCAAGTTTCATTTGCCAAAACACCAAGAATAATCACAATTCCACACTCTCAACACTGCTTAGAAAAGCAAATTCATTATGTCTTGAGTAGTTTACTGGGTTTTGTACTAGTTCATAGTGTTAGTATTTGTGCAACTGTAGAGCAAGAAAAAACTTCACACCTCCTCTCCATGCATTCTAAATCCTGTAGGGTCTTTTCCTTCCTCACGTGTTCCTTGAGCTGACAAATTTTTCCATTTTTATTTAACTATTTCAGTAATATATACATATGTGAATCTAAATATTCCTACCAACAGTACAGTAAAAAGGAATCCAACTGTTCTCAGAGATCCATCCAAAGATTTTACCTTCATGTCACAGTACCTTAGGCATATTGGATAACGCAGTGTGATGCTCATTCCTTGTAATCTTGATGACAAATGTGGCTTTAAATCCTGGTTCATCAAAACAGGGAAAAGCAGATCTTGCTGCCAGAGGTTCAAACTGAGTTGCTGCAAAGTACCTAAAAACAAATACAAATTCAATATAATAGTTACTGTCTACTAGACAAGGCACCCTGCCAAGTACTAGGGATATGAAGACAAATACAATTCCAGGCTTGAAGCAATTAAGTAAGAAAGACAGAAGTCTAAAGTGGAGAGAATCTTCTAACAGGCTTCAGATCATATCCTAACAGTGGAAGCACATTAGTAGGATCAAACAGCCTAAAACAAATTCTGCTGGAGTTGAAGACACTGGAGAAACTAGTACACAATCTGAATCGGTCCTTGAACACCAAGAATACTTGATAAAGTACAGAAGGGGAAAACAAACAAACAAACCAAAAACAAAGACAAATAAACAAAAAAACCACTTGAGAAAGAAAATAGCATACGGAAAGAAGGCAGTATGTATCTCTAAGCTGGGGCAGCTGCTGAGTGTGGTGGGATTCACAACGGTAGCTTCTTGAGTTTTCAACATGAAGTTCATAGGGATGATTGTCATTAATTGCTACTAAACATCTGGGTTTGCAATACTGAATCTCAAATTTACAACATTAACTTTCATGAAAATATAAAAGCAGTTGTTCTTTAACAGTATTCTGCTTTCCTTTTTAATTTCAGAGATAAACAAAAAGGATGTTCTCCTTTCTACACCACAATAGCAGCAGTTAAGACTATAATACATACAAAGAAACTGAATTAAAGGTCATGTGAAAAGTACAAAAAGAAACAAGGGCTAATGGTAGATTTTTAATCAAGGAAGAAAGCTGATCATCATGTGGAAGATGTATCAGGGCTAGTGCACCTCTCTTGTACCAGCTTAAATACCATTCATAGGCACTTTGGTCATGGTACCCTCTGTTCCTAGGTCCTTAGACTCCACTTTTAGAGGACAAGCAGAAAAGAGAAAACTAGATTTGGGGGTCTACACTTATTAGCCATATAACTGTTATGTTTGTAACCTATATCTCAGTGTTTTTATCTTATATATTATGATTGAGACAGGATTCCCTGCATCAAGCCCAGAGTTTTGTCAGAATCCAGTAAAACTTTACAATAAAACAAAACATTTGTATACTACATAAGTGATTCTATATAGATGCATACTACTAATACTAGGAAACTACAACTCCTTCCCACACTTAAAATCATTTTGTCTTTCCTGACAAGGATGGGCCCAGAAAAGGCAGAATGAACTTCATGATAACCATGCCATTTCTAACTGCCAACATTCTTACATAGTAAAAGGAACAGGATAAAGTCTCATTATATCCCTGTTACTCACATTAGAGGACCTATTTATGGATAAAAGTTACATCATAATGATCTTCCCTTTGTTTGAGACAGTTTTTTGTATTTTTTTTTTTTTTTTTTTAGACAGGGTTTCTCTGAGTAGCCCTGGCCATCCTAGAACTCATTCTGTAGACCAGGCTGGTCTCAATCTCACAGAGATCACCTGCCTCTGCCTTCCATGCTGGGATTAAAAGGGTGAGCCACGAACGAGAATACGCAATCCTTTTCGCCAAGATGGCAACGAAAGCGAAGAAGGAAGCTCCTGCCCCTCCCAAAGCCGAAGCCAAAGCGAAGGCCTTGAAAGCCAAAAAGGCAGTGCTGAAAGGCGTCCACAGCCACAAAAGAAGATCTGCACATCACCCACGTTCCAGCGGCCCAAGACCCTGCGGCTCAGGAAGCAGCCTAAATATCCTCAAAAGAGCACGCCCAGCAGAAACAAGCTTGACCTCTATGCCATCATCAAATTCCCCCTGACCAGCCAAGAAAAAGATAGAAGACAACACCACACTTGTGTCCATTGTGGATGTCATGGCCAACAAGCACCAGATCAAACAGGCTGTGAAGAAACTCTATGACATTGATGTGGCCAAAGTCAGCACTCTCATAAGGCCTCATGGAGAGAAGCAGGTGTATGTTCGGTTGCCTCCTGACTATGATGCTCTGGATGTTGCCAACAAAATTGGGATCATCTAAACTGAGTCCAGCCGGCTAATTCTAAATATACTTTTCCACCACAAATAAATAGATAGATAGATAGATAGATAGATAGATAGATAGATAGATAGATAGATAGATAGATAGATAGACAGACAGACAGACAGATAGATAGATAGATAGATAGATAAAAAGGGTGAGCCACTACCCCCCAGTTGAGACAGGATCTTAAATAGCCCAAATTGGCCTCATATTCACTATGTGTACATACACATGTTCTCTCTCTCTCTCTCTCTCTCTCTCTCTCTCTCTCTCTCACACACACACACACACACACACACATCTTGAACTTCTGATCCTCCTACCTCGACCTCCCAAGTGCTAGGGCTGCACATGTGTTCCATGATGCCTGACTATATATCCTAAAATTCTATGAAAATCCAAACCAAACTAAAACAAAACAAAACAAATTATTGTTAAAGCAATATAATAACTATCTCACACAAATGTCTCTGAGAATACTGCTTTCTGAAGATACGTCTTTTCTATTCTTAATACTTGGTGCCTATTCTTTCTTTGTGACTATGTTTTGTTACAGCATTTCCTCAAGCCTATTTGAAGACAAGCTGGGAGTTGAGTAAGAGAATCCTAAGCACTGGCAAAAACAACGTGCAAAAAAAAAAAAAAAAAGTGTGAATTGGGGAAATAGTTCAATACAGTGCTTAAGAAACATAGGTTTGAGTTCCCTCTCTTCCAGACTTTACTGTATGTACCTTTGCCCTTGGCTATTATGAATATATTAGCATTTCTTAGTGAGTTTGACAAGGTAGAAGACTAAAGAAACATAAAATGCTCTGAGAAGTTTCTAGTATTTTAGTTCCCAATAAGTATTGGCTACTGTTATCCTTAGTTTTAGGAAATACAGAGTTCAACATGATAGGAGAGTAAGGGCTGTGAGAAAAAACAAAGGCCAGATAATGAAAATCTTCAAACTGTTAGAAATAAGAACTAACTTCAAAAGGACTATACCAAAGGCCATGACCACTTCTACTAATGGAAACAAGTGCAGAGATAAGAATAGGCATATGTAACAGTGTGGAAAGTAGGTAAAGTTTCCTGACCACAAGCAGTGTCTATTCAAAGCATCAGACATTATGATTTTCCAGGCAACAAGAGCATTGGTGGTATAGTGGTAAGAAAAGCTACCTTCCAAGCAACAAGAAATATACCCCCCTAATCATTTTATCAGTTTAAATATTTATTCTAATTATAGCAGGGGTAGTCTCCAGCAAAATAAAGCAAAATTGTAAGATACACACCCACACAAAATTTCTTAGGATTAATAGTTTTCAGACACCCGAAGGTAAGAATGATTTAAACTTTTATCCTCTATCGAGATAGACAATCATGTGGGGCCTTCGCTGTTATTAACAAGCAGGTAAATAAACTTACATTCTGTTTGTTCCAAAATTTCAGTTTAAAATACTATTTTAAATTCTCTAGTTCTTAGTTTCAAGGACCCACAGTTTTTTCTAGCATGTACTAGGACTCAATCCAGCCCAAGTCAAGAACTGACATGTTTATACTAAAACATCACTGGATTCCACTGCACACTACTCATTCTTCCCATTATGTACCAATAGGTCCAAAGATTCCAGGGAAATAATCAAATTAGATGAGATAGCTCTGGGGCTTGTCTTAGAGTTCTCTTTGCAATACTAAGTCACTATTTTATAATGTGGATGGTGTGTCTGTCTATATGTCAACTACCTATTTCACTATCCATATGTGGATCATTCTACATACAAAATGTACAATGCAAAAAGGGTGAGAATACTGTATTTCCTATGGATAACAGAGATTACAAACCAATAACTAAAGCTAAAACTCCAAGGATGCCATTACAATCACAAATTTGTGTTCAATTTTAGATAATCATTCAACAACTGAAATATACAGACAACATTCTATTTGCTTAAAAAGTATATAAATTATGAATAGATGACATTCATAATAAGTAGAGGTTACTAAAATAAAACCATATGTTTCAAATTCAAACTACCAGTATATAAAATCTTAAAATATATGTGAAAATCAGATGCACAATTTGATGTAAAAAAAAAAATTGTAGCAGCTTTTGATGATTCTTAATTTCCAATTGACAGCTGCAGCCTTGTACCAAAAAAATCCATTTAGTACTTGAGTGCTTTTTGATGACTGAGAAAGAAAAAAAAAATTTCTATCATTTGACAAAAGCTAAGAAAGAAATATCCATTCTATAGCTAATTAAATATGTCTCTTGGAAAAAAAGAGCTAATATATTCTTTTTATTTTCAGTTAGTGAAATTACTCTTTTAAAAATATTTTTTCTTTCAATGAATCAAAAATAAAAAACTCTGAAACATTGAATAAAACAACAATATATCAATATATATTAGCCAACTGGCCAGTGTCAATAATTCTTAAACTGGTCTACAGAGTATTATGAGTGTACTATGTAAGAATGCTCTACTAACATAAAGCACATCTAAGTAGTCTTTGTGCACAGAAATGACATTACTATTATTTATGAACATTCCATAGTAATGTACCCTACATTTCTCATAAAACCCATGTATCATATGACTATGAAGATTAAACAGCAAAGTATGATCCAAATAGGCTGTGGAACACTCTTATATTCTGAATCACCTTTTTTTTAAAGATGTGATTCTTTCCTATACTTTTAAAGATTCCATAGTCAAACTGGCATTTTAAAAAGGAAACCAGTGCCAGGCGGTGGTGGCGCACGCCTTTAATCCCAGCACTCGGGATGCAGAGCCAGGCAGATCTCTGTGAGTTCAAGGCCAGCCTGGGCTACCAAGTGAGTTCCAGGAAAGGCGCAAAGCTACACAGAGAAACCCTGTCTCGAAAAACAACAACAAAAAAACAGAAAAAAAAAAAAAAAAAGGAAACCAGTGAAGATTAAGGGCACAAAGAATGATATATGTATGTATGCCACTTTTCACACCGTCTTTCTCCAACTCATTAAGTATCTCCTAAAACTTCTGCCTGCTAGCAGGATAGCCCATACCACTCACTCTGCCACTTACAACTTCAGGGATGGATGACACTATTCATCCCATAAAACATAAAATGCTCACAGAAATTTTATTAGTTTGTGATAGAGAATAAATCTTCTTTCATCCCCTTCCACTATACACTCCTATTTTCTTCCACCCCAATACTCACTCCAAGTTATGCCTAAGACAAAAGTGTATTCTTCCATAGAACCATTCTGTTTTGCACATAGCTTCCTAAATTTAAAAACATGTAAAAACATCTATGGTGTGAGCAAAAGGTCTGCACTGCAGAAGTTACATGTGGAAAAGCATAGAACAAGAACCATTTAGGTTTACATACTTTTTCTCATTACTTTTATCTGTGTAGGAGATGCCATAAAACCCATAATAAGAGTTAGATATATTTGCCGAATACTCTATCTTCAAGGTATAATTGTGTCCTGTTAGAAGGGCTTCAGGGGCAACAATGGCGATTTGTTCATGATATGGATATTCCAGGATTTCAACTTGTTTTTCTTGACTTGAAACTGCTGACATAAATGTCACTCTTGAAATATTATGTCCTGTGCTATGGAGAATGATATTCCACGTGGCCTGAAGTGCCTGAAGTGAAATTGTCACAGAGCCCCTGAATGTCATTGAGGTTAGGTTTGGGTGTAGGCTAAGTTCATAGCGCTGAGGCATAATGGCAGTGGGAAGCCTAATTTGTGCCCATGGAAACAATTTCCCATTTGTGGCAAATGGCTGAATTAGTCCTGTTGACTGGTTTTTTTTGTTGCAGCCTTCTTTGGTAAAGGTACATCTAGGCAGTAGATAAATCACCATAATCACAGAGACAGCAACCACGATGACAAAAACACAGACCACTAAGGTCCTGGCAGAGGGTACTGAACAAGTCCCATCTGGACTCTGCCTGTAGCCTGTTGCACTGTTTCGAAGGCCTGAGCTTCTGTTCATGAAGGACATGCCCAGCAGCTTTGCAGATGACTCATAATCCTCTTCGTCCTCATCCATCTCATGCTCACCAAGACCTCGCACCAATAACCTTGAACCCCGGGGCTCATATTCCACTTCATCGGGTTCCAGAGGATGTAAACAAGGTTCTTTGGCTAAATCTACCACATCTGGTTCTTCTTCAAACATGCTGTTCTCAATCATATTCCTTGGAAGCTGAAGTCGATCTACAAAATTAAGACATAATGATAAGACAGAGGTGGGGGAGAGCTCATAATACAATGTTTCTTGGAAACACCAAATTTAGTGTTTTTTTCATCACTAGAGAGTTTTTTAATCACTAAGATTTATTTCCACCTTAACACTATTTGAATTAGAGGTGTGGTGGTATTGTGTTCCCCAAAATATTGTGTACCCTAATAAACTTATCTGGGGTCAGAGAACACAAAAGCCACTAGATACTTAGGATAGGCAGTGGTAGCACACACCTTTAATCCTAGCATTCCAGAGGCAGAAATTCATCTGTTCAAGGAAAGAGCCAAGCATGGTGACTCTCGCCTTTAATCCCAGAAAGCGAGCCTTTAATCCCAGGGAGTGATGGTAGAAAGCAAAAAGGTATATAAGGCGTGAGGACTAGAAACTAGAGGCATTTGGCTGGTTAAGCTTTTAAGTTTTGAGCAGCACAGTTCAGCTGAAAGCCATTTGGATCACAAGGACACAGAGGCTTCCCGTCTGAGGAAACAAGATCAGCTGAGAAGTTGGCCAGGTAAGGTTAGCTATGGCTTGTTCTGTCTCTCTTATCTTTCAGTGTTCAACCCAATACCTGGCCTCAGGTTTGATTTTAATAAATAAGACCTTTTAAGATTCATGCTACATAGAGGCTTTATGGCATTCTTGAGTTGTTCATTAAAAACTCAAGAATGTATAAAAAAGCATATTACTACAGTCATCAACCAAAAAAAAATCCTAGCAAACAGGCTAATATTAATGAAAGATGGTATAAAGCTAATTGATTTTCTGTAACAGATTTTTTCATTGTTAGTGGTCACTAAGTGCACAAAAATATTCTGATAGTGAAAAAGAATGGCTATTGTGCCTGTATAGAAGCTTACTGAGATGTATACAGATTTGAGGCCTGACTAATTTTGGTGTGTGATATTTATTTTATTTGAATTTGTTTTCTTTTAATAATGAAAGTATAATTATAATTTTTAAAAAAAAAACAGCTGTGGTTTTATAATACTTTCTTTATACGGTCCTACCCAACACCCTGGGTTCCAGGCTTGAATTTAGAGGATGTCACTCTGGTCATCTTTGCCTGGGTCTGTCCCTAAGTGGGGTCAAAAGGACTGCAGTCAATGCCTTTCTTCTGGGGTCTGGACACTTGTAGCTCAGATTTTTTTTGGCCAAATACTGCAAACCTAGTTATAAGGCCTATGAGGGTCTCCTTTCTACATTCCATTCTCCTTTGGGCAAATTACAAATGGCTTTACCTGCTTCTAGGCTTAAAAAGGTGGCTCATCAAAAGAATGGGTTATTGTTTCCCTCAGGTAAAGGATGTTTCTGCACCATAGTAAACTGAAAGAAGATTACTTATGAAATTTTGGTAAGCAAGAAATAGTAACATGCACAAAAAAATTAGAAAACAGATCAAACTACAGTTCAAACACCTGTTTTTTCACCCTTCTGTAACTTTCACAAGTACAACATTTCCCATCCTTAAAAACAGAACAAACACCATGAGTGCCAGCATATCTTGAAGCGGTGGGAGCTTTTCTAAGCTACATTTACCCCATTTGCCAAGAATCACGGAGGAGAAAGGTCTCAAGAAGCAAAGATTATCTATCAATAACTTAGATTTGGGACATTCAATATTTTGTATTTTAAAAAAATCACATCTTGTAAGGGATTTCAAGATTTTAACAAACTGAAATCATCTTTAACTTGTTCTCACAAGGCACTTTACAGTTACCATTTCTAATCTTCACAACAGTTCTATAAAGTAGCAAAAATTAAGACATGAAAAAAACCAAACAGAAGTGGATTAATTTAATTTCAAAGTCATATAGATATTTACTTGTATAATTGATATTTAAGCCCACATTCTAAAAAAAATTATTTCAAATTTTAATCTCAATATACTGCATCTTCTGACCCATGTTAGTTTAGTGAAATGGAAGAGCTTTTAACAATTTGATACATCATCAGTAGAACAAAACTGACATTTTAACTACTTAATATGCAGAAAAAGATAGTGCTCAGTAAAAAGAAAACAATAGTAACTCATAACTCACAAAATAAAAGAACTGCTAATATTAGGGTAAAGTTTACAATTGTGCTACTCAAAGTGCAGAATGAAGACCACAGTACCCATATTAAATTGCAGCTTCTTACAAAGGCAAACTCCTTCCCTCCTAGGTATGAATTTTAGGAAATTACCCAGTGACTTTCATGCATGTAAATTTCAGAAGCATTGATCAAATCATTCAAATATCAATCCTACTAGTCCTGGGTGTGCTCAGGACGTAGCAGTCTGTTTTACACATCTGAGAACAAGCCAGATTATTATACTGCATTCTCTTCCCCACAAGCCTTTTTTCCTTAGTTCCTTCTGCCTGGATGTCATGATTTCCTCTTTCTACCTTCATTCACTTTGGTACACACCTGTTAATGTATAACTAAACTCACTAGAACATTCATCAAGAAAACTCATTCTTTTTTATTTTTAAGAGTAAGCTGTCATTCATACTTTTGTGCACTTCTGACTTTGGAAACACAGAAACTCGAGTAAGACAGTCAACCATTTTCTACTTCTCCACTCTGAAAAATTATGCTACCTTAAAAAGATTTCTTTGAATAAAACTTCTACTTATTTATAGGTGTGGATTTAGCAAAGTAGCCACCTACCCACCTCCTGTGAATGGTGTGTGTAGAAAACAGGGGTTACAGTATCCTGTCTCTTAGAATTTGGTGTTCTAAGCTTCCAATAGTGCCCCATATTGCCTTGTGATGACTGGTGTCAATGGATATTGGTTTGGGGGTTGTATTAGTTACTTTTCTGTTGTGATAAACATCAAGAACAAAATCTACTTAAGGAAGAAAATATTTTTGTTTTTGTTTTTGTTTTTTTAGCTTAGGATCCAGAGAGTTAAGAGTCCACTTTAGCAGGTAATGTATGCCATGCCTGCAGGAACAGGAAGCTGGCTGACCATATTTCCATTCACACACAGGAAGGAGAGGAGAGAGAGAGAGAGAAGAGACAGAGAGAGAGAAGGGAGAGAGGAGCAGAAAGTGGGGTGAGGCTATAAACTCTCAAAGCATGCGCCAGTGATATATTTGCTCTGGCAAGTCTCAACCTCCTCAAGGTTCCATAACCACCCAGAGAGTACCACCCAGTGGGAACTAAGTGTTCAAATACATGAGCCCATGGGGGTCATTTCTCATCCAAAACACCACAAGTGTTCATTCTATTCATGCAGTTTCACATTGAAATATTGTTAAAATTTGTCTGTAAGCCCTTAATAAGATCTTAACCTTTCTGATGTGATTAAGCTCCTATGAGATGAAATTATGCTCCTTAAGCATCTCACCCCAAGCCAGATGCAGACATGAGCACTGTTTACTCAGTAAATGTTTAACTTAACTATCATTGGGTAGAGAATCAGCTCAATATTAGAGCATTCCCATTCATCAACTAGTTCAAGGCCAGCCTGGTCTACAGAGGGAGTTCCAGGACAGCCAGGGCTACACAGAGAAACACAGTTTCTTTCCTTTATTTATTTATTTGTTTGTTTGTTTATCTATTTATTTATTCTTTAAAAAAATTCTTCCCAGATGACCATACCTTGTGTCAAGTTGGCATAAAAATTATCCAACACAACTGCTCAGCAATGACCTGTTTAAAGCCAAGGAATATTTAACAGTTGAGCATTTAATATGGCCTGTCCTCATCAAATCTGAGAATTGGCCAGTCAGTAATCTGTCAAAATGCAGATAACTTATTTTTGTTATTAAACACCTCATCAGATTAATATTTACATAGAACTTTACTCTTCTAGTAGTAAAACAAACCAAACAATCTGCCATATTTTACTAAGTATTACAAGCACACAGTTCTGTATACAGTTCTTTCCATTTAAATATCAACCTGGGGAAACCCAATGTTATTACAAGCCAATCAAAGACTTTCAATCTGCTATTTTTTATGTTGTCTTGACTCTTAAGTCAATACACTTTAATTTTAGCATAACTATAAGGTTACTCTATACTGTAATTAGACTTATTCCTTCTAAGAAACAGTATAATATTATATGATATACACTATATATACAGTATAATATATATCATTTCCCCTTCCCTTTCCAAAAATAAAAAACAAACAAAAAGAAAGTAAAGTTTCACATATATATATATATATATATATATATATATATATATATATATAAACAGTAAAGGTGTAATTTAACTGGAATACAAATGTGTTTTCTTGCTTAGCATATATAAGTAGCTTGATATGTAATAATTCATATTATAAAGCTTTCACATTTGAAAAATAAAACAAGCAAACAACTAGTAGCATATTTTCTTGATGTATTGGCTATGAGCCTGGCCTTAAAAGGCTGAACCATCCCTCCAGCCCAGAAGCAGTGTTTTCTGAAGCTTTCTAAAGCTACACATAGATGCTGTCTGTAACCCAACAAATCCCTAGTTGAAATTTAATTTCTAAATAACATGGATCCATGTGGCTGTAATCTAAGAAAACTGAAGATATTTCTATCCCTCTGATGCTGTACCTAGACTCAACGTTTATGGACCAGATCTAAACTGCAAACTGTTTATTATCCATCTGTGACAGGACAGTCATAGAGAATTAGCTTCTAAAACCTTTTATTACAATCTGACAGAGTAATTTCATGTCTGTTGAATTCAATGCTATTTAAAATGAGACTTATTTTTGCATATCTTTTAAAATTTTTATAATAATTCTTTTTTATATAATCAGCAATGTTTCAACAAAAATCTAAATAAAAAACAAGACACCTTGGTTGTTCGGGTCAGATAATCTGAAAGCAATGGGTCTGGGCCATGGTAGTCCAGAGGAAGAAGTCCTAGACTATGATGCGGTGGGGGAGGGCAATCACATGACAGGTAGGAAGCACACAATGATGCTCCTTTGGTTTGGATGAACCAGTGGGGTAGCAACACAGAGGGAAATCTGCATCTATCA